AATCTGCTGACTTGTGTTGTGAAATGAGACGTTTTCCTGTTTATCTTCTGTTAATAAATCCATAACACAAACAGCTTTTCTGACATTTAAAACAATAGATAGATTATCTAAACTGTAAAATATGAATAATAATTCGATTGATATTATTATTAATAGTTTTAATGATTTCTACATCATCATTCCTTTTTTTCTGCTCTGTTGTCAACACGTACAGCAATGGGAAATCCAGACTCTTTCCCGTTTAGCGTTAGCCGTTAGCTTCTCCAGCCGATCACACGGTCACCTGGTTTTTGCGCACTTCAGCTGTTCTGTAGAACCTCCTTGAAGGGAACTCGTTAATAAAATAAACTCGTTGGTCTCTGTTTCATTAAAACAAAATTATTTAAACTTTAACTCATCTTCATCTCTCTTTGATAGAGACTAAAAAGAATCTAAAGAAACATCAGATTCTTCTCTCCAGTCTGTTGTTAGCATTTGTAACAACGCTCTGTTTACATGCCAACATTCCCCTTTGACATCACTTCCTGTTTCTTCACATGCAAATATCTCAACAACCGTTCATCTCAGTGATGTGAAATTTGTTTTGAAATATGTTATCAATGTCATCTTTCCAAAAGTGCATTCATGTTTATTACAAAAATTTGATGTCACAGGCCCTTTAATTTTCACTGTCAACAATAAAACTAAACAAAACCTCAAAATAAGTGGATTAAAGGCCAAAAACAGATCTGCAAGCTTCTCAAAAGTGCTACCTTCCAGGACGCCCATAGTGAGGAAGAGCCAAGGCAGACTGAGGTCCAGAGAGGCCAGCAACATCCCCAAGGAGCAGAGCAGGCCTCCAGCGATGATGACCACTCTCTGAGAAAAGCGTAAGGTCAAAGCACTGGCAGTTGGAGCTGTAAAGAGAGGGAAAAAAAATTACAAAAAGAAAAATCACCTTTTGATTTTAAACAGACCAATAGTTTGATCTGATAAAGACATCTTTACCTCCGACGTGAAACATGGCGATTGTTGTTGAGGTCACCCATGAGGTGGTGCTGGCCAGAACTCCAAAGTGACTCTGGATGTCCAGGAAGAAGTGGCCGAAGTTTTTGAGGACGGCCGCGCTGAGCCCCATGACGAAGAAGGCCGACACGACCACCACCCATCCATACCCCCCATCAGGGGGTCCGGTTCTTCTAGACGTCATCTGAGCTACTCGCGGGGCGCTACCCGCCTGCAGGAGGCTGCTGTTGTGTTATAATACCCTCCACGTGGGTAGTACTCAAGAAAACCAAAGTCCAAATGTGCACAGCACCTGTAAGAGCTGTCAAGCATTAATTTAATCCCCTCCCACTGCACAGTTACACAAAGACTTTGTAATTTCAACTCACTCATTTAATATACATATTTTTATAATTTCCATTATTTCACAACATACTGAAACTAAAGGTATTCATTGTAAAGTCATGAAGAGTACAGTCGCACTAATGTAGGTTCATCATGTGACTCCTTCCACCTGCTTTTCTGGCAGATTCAGCCAAGAAGTGCTTTGTTTACATTGAACGCCTACCCGCATTTCAGAAATGCATAAATAAAGCTGAAAACTACAGGAGTACACCCTCCCAACCTTACTTTTATATATAATCCAGGATGAGCTTGTGCTTAAAACCTAATTTCATACTTTGCAGTCAATACTTTAAACAGTTTAAGAAATAAAATAAAATAAAAATAAGCAGCATAACAGTAT